GGGCGGGGGCAGGGCATGGCTGGGGGATGGGAGTCTCTGCTGTGAGCGCCCCCGCCCCAAACACACACACAGCCTGACCACATCTGTGATGTAGGTACTGGAACGGCATGGTCCCGGACCGCTGTCGGCGCCAGTTTAAGGAGGGCGAGGAGTGGAACTGCTTCTTTGGCTATAAAGTCTACCCAACGCTGCGCTGTGAGTGGCCAGCGCAGATGGGCCGGCGGGGTGGGGGGTGTCCGAGCTGATGCACCCCTTCTGAAAGCCCAGAGGAGTCCCACCCCGAGGAGGTGGCCACACCTATGCCAGGGTGGCTGGTCCTCCCTCTGCCCGGACCATCCCTTTGGTCCCTGGGCTGTCCCCTGACTGTGCTGCTGCTGACATCGCCCCCCCCCCCCGCCCCTGCTGCCCGCCTGTGCTGCTGCACCCAGACAGGGACCTCCTCAGCCCCATAGCTTTGCTTTATCAGAGTGAAATGCCTGACAGCCAGGCCAAAGTGACAGCAGCTTTGTAAGGGGCCCTCTTCAAGGAAAGATAGGTTCTTTTATTTTATTCATTCATTTATTTATTTACTTATTTTGCCGGTCCTGGGGCCTGAACTCTGGGCCTGGGCGCTGTCCCTCAGCTCTTCAGCTCAAGGCGAGCGCTCTACCACTTGAGCCACAGCGCCACTTCCTGCTTTTTTCTTTTTGCTTATGTGGTGCTAAGGAATCAAACCCAGGACCTCATGCATGCAAGGCAAGCACTCTACTGCTGAGCCACCTTCCCAGTCCAAAAGATAGGTTCTTTAAAAAAAAAAAAAAGAAGGCTGGGAAGGTGGCTCAGTGGTAGAGCGCTTGCCTTGTGTGCTTGAGGCCCTGGGTTCGATTCCTCAGCACCACATAAGCAGAAAAAAAAAAGCCTGAAATGGCCCTGTGGCTCAAGTGGTAGAGTGCTAGCCTTGAGCTGAAGAGCTGAGGGACAGCATCCAGGCCCAGAATTCAGGCCCCACGACCGGGCCCTCTCCCTCCCCCGCCAAAAAAAAAAACAAAGAAGGGGAAGTCAGGCGTCTGTGGCTCATGCCTGTCATCCTAGCTACTCAGGAGGCTGAGATCTGAGGTTCAAAGCCAGCCCGGGCAAGAAAGTCTGTGAGACTCTTATCTCTAATAAACCAATCAGAAAACTGGAAGTGGCGCTGTGGCTCAAGTGGTAGAGCACTCCCCTTGAGCTGAACAGCTGAGAGACAGCGTCCAGGCCCAGAGTTCAGGCCCCATGACCAACAAGGGAAAAAAAGGGAGGGGCTTGTAATGTGGCTCTGTGGTAGAGTGCTTGCCTAGCACCCATGAAGCCCCAGGTTCAATTCCTCAGTATTACATTCAGAAAAAGCTGCAAGTGGCTCTGTGGCTCAAGTGGTAGAGTGCTAGCCTTGAGCAAAAGAAGGTCAGGGGTAGTGCCCAGGCCCTGAGTTCAAGTCCCAGGACTTGGGGAGGACGGGGGACGGGCTGGGTGCACTCACCTTGCAGGCAGCAAGCTCTGGGTTCCATCTCCAGGACTGCGGGGCAGGGAGGGGGAGAAAGGACATGGGATGGGGGAGTGTGTGATGGAGCCAGCTGGGCCTTCAGTGCCAAGCCCAGCTGAACTGAACTGTGTCCCCCACCAGGCCCAGTGTTCGTGGTACAGTGGCTGTTTGACGAGGCCCAGCTGACCGTGGACAATGTACACCTCACAGGCCAGCCCGTCCAGGAGGGGCAGTGGCTGTATATCCAGAACCTAGGCCGTGAGCTGCGCAGCACACTCAAGGATGTGCCGTGAGTGTGTGCTGGGGTCCTGCTCTGCTTGGCTCATTCAGCCGCTGTGTTCCAAAACAGGCCTCAGCCAGGCACCAGTGGCTCATGCCTGTAGTCCTGGCTACTCAGGAGTCTGAGATCTGGAGGATCAAGGCCCAAGCCAGCCCAGGCAGAAAAAGTTCCTGAGACTTCATCTGTAAATAATCAGCAGAAAACAAAACTGGAGGCATGAGGGAAAGGCTCACATAGTAAGAAAGCCAGCTAAGCAAGCGAGCGGGGCAAGCTTGAGGCCCTGAGTTCAAATCCTGACAGAAAGATGTAAAAAAGAAAGAAACCACAACAACAAAAGAGGAAGAAAAAAAAATGCCAGAGGTCTCAAAATGGCATGCACCTGCTCTGGATAGCGTCCTGCTGCTGCCCGGCAGGCCGCAGCCAGAGGAGGGCTAAGGAAGACTTGGAGTGACAGAGGGCAGGAGCCGGCAGGGAGCTGTGGGGGTAAGAGCTGGGCGGCTGGAAGGGAAGGACAGACCCAGGGGAGTGGACGGAGCTGGCAGCGGGGTTAGTTCAGGGAGCGGCTGGCGGGGCCAGCTCAGGCTGTCTGACTTTCGTCCACCAGGGCCAGCTTTGCCCCTGCCTGCCTCTCGCACGAGATCATCATTCGGAGGTCAGTGCTCTGGGCTCTGGGGCAGCACAAGTCCTCCCACAGGTCCTCCGCCCCCCCCCAACTGACTCCATGTGAAGGGTTTTCTTCTGGGGACTTCAGCACTGGTTGTGGGGCCAGAATGAAGCCTCTGCCCCCCCCCCAACAGTGGTAAAGACCCCTCCTCCCTGTGACCTGTCTCCGTTTCTGTCTGCAGCCATTGGACAGACATCCAGGTGAAGGGGACCTCGCTGCCCCGGGCGCTACACTGCTGGGACAGAAGCCTCCATGACAGCCACAAGGCCAGCAAGGCCCCCCTGAAGGGCTGTCCCTTCCACCTGGTGGACAGCTGCCCCTGGCCCCACTGCAACCCCTCGTGCCCCACAATCCGCGACCAGTTCACAGGGCAGGAGATGAACGTGGCCCAGTTCCTCATGCACATGGGCTTTGACGTACAGACCGTGGCTCAGCAGCAGGGACTGGAGCCCAGCAGGCTGCTAGGGATGCTGAGCACGGGGAGCTAGGCCCCAGGCTGCCTCAGGTCCACCACCAGGCGCTCCTGCCTCTCCCAGAGCCCATGGAGCCCTACCTGCTCCCCACCTGGGTGAGGACACCTGCGGAGCCGGCCCTGCCTTTGGAGGGCCTGGCCAGGGAGGAGGCCGCCCCCCTCAGCCCTCCCTGGAGGGTCAGCAGCACCGGACATCCCTGCCCCGCCTCAGCGCATCACGTCCTTTGGCATTCTTTTATAAAGTGACTCTTTTTTATTACTTTAATTTTTTAAAAAAGGAAAATAAGAAATATATGATGAATGATATTGCTCTGTAACATATATTTTTTAAATAATGAAAAAAAAAGACGACAAAAGAAACTCTCCTTGTGACTTCGTTTGCTTTTGTTATGTGTGTGCCTACACTCAAATGCTAGTCCTTGGGTTTGATCTCAGGACCTCAGGCTCTTTTTTTTTTTTTTTTTGTCGGTCGTGGGGCTTGAACTCTGGGCCTGGGCGCTGTCCCTCAGCTCTTCAGCTCAAGACGAGCGCTCTACCATTTGAGCTACAGCGCCACTTCCGGTTTTTTGGTGGTTTATTGGAGATAGGAGTCTCACGGTCTTTCCTGTCCGGGCTGGCTTTGAACCGTGATCCTCAGATCTCAGCCTCCTGAGTAGCTAGGATTACAGGCGTGAGCCACCAGCGCCCGGCTTCAGGACCTCAGGCTCTTGGCTCAACATTTCCTACTCAAAGCTGGTTTGGGCTGGGAAGGTGGCTTAGTGGTAGAGCGCTTGCTTGCCTAGCATGCATGAAGCCCTGGGTTCCATTCCTCAGTACCACATACACAGAAAAAGCTGGAAGCGGTGCTGTGGCTCAAGTGGTAGAACGCTAGCCTTGAGCAAAAGAAGCTCATAGACAATGCCCAGGCCCTGAGTTCAAGCCCCAGAACTGGCAAAAAGAAAAAAAAATGCTGGTGCTCTATCACTCGAGCTACGTATCCACTCCCAGCAGTTTGCTGGTTAATTGGAGATGAGTCTTTCAGATTTGTCTGCCCAGGCTGGCTTTGAACTGCCATCCTCAGATGTAGCTAAGATTGCAGTTGTGACCTTGCTGTGCCATTCTGCCCACAGGGCAGTGTGGACACCTGAAGAGGGACTAGGCTCCAACTTCTGACCCTTTCCTGGATATTCAGTGGTCCACCTCAGCTCACATCCTGCTCAAGCCCCTCTGAGGAGGCTGCTCATCCATTCATCCAACGCCCACATCCCAGGGTGGGCGGGCACAGCAGAAGCCACTTTTCATTTTTCTATTGAGAAATTAAATAAGCCAGGCACTGGTGGCTCACACCTGTCATCCTAGCTACTCAGGAGGCTGAGATCTGAGGATCAAGGTTCAAAGTCAGCCCAGGCAGAAAAGTCTATGACACTTTTTTTTCCTGCATGTTCTGGGGCTTGAACTCAGGGTCTAGATGCTGTCCCTCGGCCTTTTTGTGCTCAGGCTAGCAGTATACCACTTGGCCACAGTGCCACTTCTGGCTTTTTCTGAGTGGTCTGTTGGAGGTAAGAGTCGCACAGACTTTCCTGCCTGGGCTGACTTCAAATTATGTTCAGATCTCAGCCTCCTAAGTATAAGTGTGAGCCACCAGTGCCCAGCTCTGAAACTCATCTCCAATGAACCACCAGAAAATGGGAAGTGGCACTGAGGCTCCCGTGGTAGAGTGCTCGCATTGAGCAAAAGAGCTCAAGGACAGCGCCCAGGCCCAGAGTTCAAGCCCTGTGGCAAAAAATAAATTAAATAGGGCTGGGAAGGTGGCTAAGTGGTAGAGCGCTTGCCTTACATGCCTGAGGCCCTGGGTTCAATTCCTCAGCATCACATAAGCAAAAAGAAAAAAGCCGGAAGTGGCACTGTGGCTCAAGTGGTAGAGCGCTAGCCTTGAGCTGAAGAGCTGAGGGACAGCACCCAGGCCCAGACTTCAGGCCCCATGACCGGACGCCCCCCCCCAAAAAAAAATAAGAATAAAATAAATAAATAAGATCTTTGATCAGGTCTCAAGGAGGAGAAAACTTACAAAACTATCAAGTTCATTTCAGGAACAGGTGAATGAGCTTGGAGAAGCATCTGGTGATGGTTCTCACACTTCCCAGCAGCCATCACTGGGTTAAGCTTCTCTAGGTCAGTGGTTTTGTTCTGAGGAGGGAGGTGTCCATGGAATTATCTGGCATCCAGTATATGCAAAATAAATGAATTAATTACCCAATGAGGGGAGTCAGGGTAAAATGCGAGCAGTTTTGCACTAGGAATATCTACAGTGGTGCACGCTGGGTGAGCGAGGACCTGGGTTCCAGGGCCTTTTTTTGGTTGGTTTTCTTTTTTTTTTTTTCTTGCGGGTCGTGGGCCTGAACTCTGGGCCTGGGCGCTGTCCCTCAGCTCTTCAGCTCAAGGCTAGCGCTCTACCAACTTCTGGCTTTTTCCTTTTTGCTTATGTGGTGCTGAGGAATCGAACCCAGGGCCTCAGGCATGCAAGGCCAGCGCTCTACCGCTGAGCCACCTTCCCAGCCCCTGGGTTTTCTTTTGAGGCAGAGGTTTCATTATGCAGCCGAGGTTGGCCTTGAACTTGCAACCCCCCTTCCTTAGCCTCCAAACTAGCAAAACAATGATACACTCTAGATAAAAGGCACACATAGCAAGGCCTTGTCAAGAAAGAAAAGGAAGAAGGAGAGGGAGGAAGGCAGGAGGGGGAAGGGAGGTGGAAAGGGGGGGAGAGTAGGAGGGTTGAGTTGTTTCTAAGTGTTAAGTTTCTCTGCATGCCTGAAGGGTACAGGAGTTTCAAGATGTTCCCTGGAAATAATAAGTAAAAGTCAACCGCTCTGGTCATGGCAGGAGGCCACGTCCAGACTGCAGGCAGCCTTTGGTCTGTGGGACTCCCACCCCTGTTTTTCCCCCAGGACTCCGCAAGAGTTTCTTGGGCCCCTGGGACAATGACAACAAGGTCGTGGGTCTAAGCAGAGCTCTGAATTAGCCACTGGCCTGATGGGCTGGGATAAACTACCGGAGAGGAATCTCCGGCAGACCACCAGGAGCCAAGTACCCCCCCCCCGCAGGCTCTCCCCCCTCCCCAGCAGCCAAGTACCCCCCCACCCGCAGGCTCCCCCCCTCCCCAGCAGGACTCCCCCCCCTCCCCAGCCGTGAGCCCTGGAGGCTGCTTCAGCTGGAGTCTGCGCCCCTCTCCCTGCTGACTCCCTACCCCTCCCCCACACCAACCAGAAGGACAGACGCAGGTGCTCTGGAGGCCGGAGGTGGGTGGTGCCAGCAGCCAGGGGGTTAATGGGTCTTGCAGGGTCTCCACGTGGGTCGGGGTCAGATGTCCTCCGGGACGGGGAGAGGCATGCAGACTGCTATTCCAGGGCTCTGATCTCGGTGCCGCTGCCTATTTATAGTGCTTGGTGCTCCTCACACGGGCTGCTGCCGCTGCTGCCGCCGTGTTGCGGGTGGCACTGCAGAGCCTGCCTCCATCTGCCGCTGCACAGAGGACCGAGCGCCCGGCACAGACCTCCGGCTGCCGGACACTGAATGAGGCTGGGTGATCAGCAGGATGGGCAGCGCCATGGACCCCTCCGGAGGTGCCTACCTGCACCTGGGTGCGGTGATGTCCCCGGTGGGCACCGCCCGCGTGCTGCAGCTGGCTTTTGGCTGCACGACTTTTAGCCTGGTGGCCCACAGGGGCGGTTTTGCGGGGGTCCAGGGTACCTTCTGCATGGCTTCCTGGGGCTTCTGCTTTGCCCTCTCCGTCCTGATTGTGGCCTTTGAGTTCACGAAGCTCCATGGCTGCCTGCGTCTCTCCTGGGGCAACTTCACAGCAGCCTTTGCCATGCTGGCCACGCTGCTCTCGGCCACAGCCGCTGTCATCTACCCGCTGTACTTCACCCGGCTGGAATGCCCACCCGAGCCCGCCGGCTGCACGGCCAGGAACTTCCGCCTGGCCGCCAGTGTCTTTGCTGGACTCCTCTTCCTGGCCTATGCTGCGGAGGTAGCCCTAACACGAGCCAGGCCTGGCCAGGTAGCCAGCTACATGGCCACCGTATCTGGGCTCCTGAAGATAGTCCAGGCCTTTGTGGCCTGCATCATCTTTGGGGCCCTGGTCTATGACAGCCGCTACGGGCGCTACGTGGCCACCCAGTGGTGTGTGGCTGTGTACAGCCTGTGCTTCCTGGCCACAGTGGCTGTGGTGGTCCTGAGCGTGTTGGGCCATACAGGGGGCCTGGGCTGCCCATTCGATCGCCTAGTGGTGGTGTACACCTTCCTGGCCGTTCTCCTCTACCTCAGCGCTGCCGTCATCTGGCCCGTCTTCTGTTTTGACCCCAAGTACGGGGAACCCGCACGGCCCCTCCACTGCCCCCAGGGCAGCTGCCCCTGGGACAGCCAGTTGGTGGTAGCCATTTTCACGTACGTCAACTTGCTTCTCTACATCGTTGATCTTGCCTACTCCCAGAGGATCCGCTTCGTGCCCACCCTGTAGACTGGCGAGCTGCTGCCTGTCTGCCTCTGCTGTCTGGCCAAGGGCACGTGAGGTGGCCAAGGTGACCCAAGACCTCAGAAACAAGCAGGAGGGCCCGGGGCAGATGCAAGGGGAGAAATGGAGGAAGGACAGAGGGACAGGAAAGCGGGGCTGTTCCGCTCACAGGCTTTTGTTCTTCCTAGTTCTCTCCCTGTCTCTGTTCTCCTGGCCTCCCTGGGCTCAGTGCTGGTCACCAGAACATGGGAACCTTTTGGAGCAGGTGCTGTTGTGACCCATCTTGAAAAGGAGGACCATGGGGCTAGATGAGCTTCAGAGGGGTCTGGAGATGGCTCTGAGACTGGGGTTAGACATTGGGAAGGGAGCTGGGCATTGGTGGCTCACACCTGTCATCCTAGCTACTCAGGAGGCTGAGATCTGAGGATTGTAGTTCAAAGCCAGCCAGGGCAGAAAAGTCTTTGAAACTCTTATCTCCAATAAACCACTAGAAAATCGGAAGTGGCTGGGACTCAATTGGTAGAATGTTATCCTTCAGTAAAAAAGCTCAGGGACAGCACTCAGGCCCTGAGTTCGAGCCCTAGGACCAATCTACACATACACAAACTAAGTTGGGAAGGGAATCATTTCCAGAGGTGTGGAAGGGATGGGAGAGAAGCCCAGGAGAGCACCAGGGCCTGTCCTTCTGAGGGGTGTGGGAACTGGAACCCTCCCCTTAACCCTGGGAGGAGAACCCGGCTCAGGAGCAGCACCTGTTCGCAGAAAAGCCCAGAGACCAGGCTCCAGCCTCACCAGCCTGTTCAGGATGGCTTTCCAGGCTCAGCAGGCCGAGGTGGCAGCAGTGGGTTGGAGGGGTCTGACATGAGTAGGACCACAAGGAACAGTGTCCCCCACTGTGGGCTCCTGCAGGGTCTGTCCTGCAGGGCCCTGGGAGGCCGGCCTGCTGGGCAGCACTGACACAGAGCAAGCATCTACGCCACTGCGGCACGGAGCCTGGGCACCAGGTGCCTCTCCTCAAGTATCTGCTTGTGTTAGACGCCAGGCCCCGGGTGGCATGCTCCTCCCCCATGCTCCAGCCAATTTCTTCTGTTCAAGCCTGGACAGGGTAGCCTAGGGCAGGTGTCCCTGGCCACATGGAATCCAAGTATCACAGGTCAAAGCTCAGCAGTCCCTCCCCACTGCTGACTGCCCCCCCCACTCCCCACCAGGTCCTGGAGCAGGAAATAAAAGTGGACAGTCACTGTGCCCTGGCTCTGGCTGAGTGGTCTCTGCTGGGGAGCTGCAGTTGGTTGCACCCCTTTCCTGTGTGCTCTGGGAGACAGGCCTGGACCAGGGCCTGGCTGAGGGAGGGTATGGCCCTGGAGTGCCCTCAGGCTCTGAGGGCAGGCAGGTCTGGGCCTGGTCTGAGGAAACACAAGGCAGGTGGGGCTCCCTGGGAGGACCAAGGGTGGAAGCAGGGTCAATGCTGAGTTCATCTCCTTTCCCAGAGACCCTGGCACCCACCCTCCCCTCTCACCTGGACAGCTCCAGCGTCCTGGGCACACACAGAAAAGATACCCTCTCTAGGCAGTGGAACCAAGGCTGTGAGAGCCCCGAGCAGGCAGTGTGTGGTACTGAGCCTGGCTTGAGAGGGCGCAACTGGGTCGGCCAATACCTTTTTCTATTCTTTCTTTCTTTCTTTGTTGGTTATGGGGCTTGAACTCTGGACCTGAGCGCTGTCCCTCAGCTCTTCAGCTCAAGGCCAGTGCTCTACCACTTGAATTACAACTCCACTTCTGTTTTTTTTTTTTTGAAGTCAATTGGACTTTCCTGCCCAGGTTGGCTTTGGACTGTGATCCTCAGATCTCAGCCTCCTGAGTAGCTAGGATTACAGATGTGAGCCACTGGTACCTGGCCTGCCAATGACTTTGACTTAGGAGTTGGGGCTGGCATCCCATCAACACCGGTAGATGTCTGTGTGTCCTGAAGCCCCTTGCTGGCTGAGAGGATTGAGTTGGATCAAGGAGCCACATCCTCAGAGGACAAAAGAGCACATGGGCATGCTTAGCCCAGCTCATGGGGAAGGCCTGGCCGCTGTCTGGGAAGGAGCTTGCTTTTTTATTTCATTACTTTGTCAGCAAGTCCCAACTTTTTAAATTTTCTCACCATCTAGTGGCTTTCTGCCCCCAGCACCCTATTCAGCCTGAATCTCAGAGGCTCTTAGGGCAGGGGAGGAAAGGGCAGAGGGCTCTCCTGGAGAGAATGCCCAAGGGCCTTGCAGGGCTCCCAGAGGACTGACTTGGTTTTCTCTTAAGTGGGGAATATTATTTGTTATGTTATGTGGGGGGAGTATTTTGTCATAGTATTTGTTATCACTTGGCGTAGGTAGCTCTGTTCTCAAGAGGTCATGAGCTCTCCAGCTTTGAGTCACAGAGTTTGAGAGATGCCACAGGATATGCATGTTCTCTGGGTGAGGCCCAAATCCTCCTGTGCCGGGCCACTGTGGAGCAGACTCCTATTGGGAGTGGTGTCCCAGGGCCAGTGTGGTCATTTTGGGTGAAGAAGGGATCAGGTAGATAGGAAAGCAGACTTCCATAGTAGAAACATTTTTTTTTTTTGTCGGTCGTGGGGCTTGAACTCTGGGCTTGGGCGCTGTCCCTGTACTCTTCAGCTCAAGGCTAGTGCTCTACCGCTTGAGCCACAGCGCTACTTCCAGTTTTCTAGGAGATAAGAGTGTCACAGACTTTCCTGCCTGGGCTGGCTTTGAACTGTGATCCTCAGAACTCAGCCTTCTGAGTAGCTAGGATTACAGGCGTGAGCATAGCAGAAACATTCTAACTTTCTGAAGCAACTTGTTCTTCTCCAAGCTACAAAGAAATCAGAAGAAAAAAAAAGTGTCCAGGCAGGGAAGGTGGCTCAGTGGTAGAATGCTTGCCTTGCATGCATGAAGCCCTGGGTTCGAGTGCTCCGTACAACATAAGCAGAAAAAGCCAGAAGTGGTACTGTGGCTCAAGTGGTAGAGCGCTAGCATTGAACACAGAGCGGCTCAGGGACAGTGCCCAGGACCTGAGTTCAAGCCCCAGGACTGGCAAAAAGAAAAAAAAATCCACCTTTGCCTGAGGTAGAGTGGGGGTTCCCGTAATCCCACCTCGTTACAGGGGCTGCTGGGGACCCCAGACTGCTCTGACCGCCCCCCAACAGCATTTGGGCCCAGAACGCGTGCACGCACGTGTGTGTCTGGGTATGTGTGTGCGTGAGTGTGACTACAGTCTTACTCTCCCTAAAACGCAGGGGCTGCGCGGCACAGAAGTCGGGGTGAAGGTGAGCCCGCTGTCCTGGGGCAGCAGAGGCCGAACGCCACCGGTCCGCACCGAGGGTCTCGGGAGTGGCGGCGGTAGCGGGGCTGCGCGCGGGGGGGGGGGGGGAACGGGGAGCGGAGCGGGCTGGGCTCCGGGGGCTGACCCGCGGGGCCCGCGGGTGACGCAACGCCAGACACTCCAGCCTCGGCTTCTGATTGGTCGCTTCGCGGCGGCCGCGCGGCGGATTGGCTGAGAGCTCGGGGCGTGGCCTGCGGGCGGGGGCGTGGCGGGCGGGCGCCGGTGCCGCGTGGCGGGCGCGGCCCAGTAGCCAGGCTGTGCCCGGGGAGCTGGGCCCGGGGGCCGCGGGCAGCGTCGCCGAGGCCGGGCTCGGACCTGGGTTGGAGGTGCTCTGGGCGCCAGATCCTCCCCTCTTCCCAGCGCTTCCCCTGCGGCCTCCCGATCCCTTCTAGAGGGTTCTGGCCTTTGGACAGCAGGCCAGGGACCCTGGATCTGAGCAAGGGGTCTGACAGGGAAAATCCTCCGGTGGAGGACCACCGGCTGCTAGAGGAGCCCCGGGCCAACTTCCTGCCGTCCGTCCTGCCCACCTCCTGCAGCCTTCCTGAAGAGCCAGTGCCAGCCGAGGGGGCATCATGAGTGTGGGCTTCATTGGAGCTGGGCAGCTGGCCTTTGCCCTGGCTAAGGGCTTCACTGCGGCAGGTAGACCCCGGGGCCAGGATAGCCTAGTGGGAGGACTGGTGGCTGACGTTGGGGCTCTGGGTTGTGTGGCCTGAGTCCTGAGAAGAACAGCAGTTGCCATATGTTTGGGATTGCTACCCTGGGGTGGGAGGTGGGGGGCAGAGGAGGAGGAAGAGGCTCTGTGCTGTGTCCCTCCTTCCTAGGCATGGAGGACAGAGGCCAAAACAGGCCTTGACCTAGGTAGTCTTCCCTGCAGGTGTCCTGGCTGCACACAAGATAATGGCCAGTTCCCCAGACATGGACCTCACCACTGTTTCTGCCCTCAGGGTAGGTATGGAGCCGGAAGAGCAGATTCTGACAGGATTCAGGTCAGGGGCTAGCTTACGTGGCAGCTCTGACAGGAGTGGGAGGAGGCTGTACCACAGCCACCTTTCCAGTAAGAAGAGCCAGCTGGGCTGGGGCATCTCCAGACTTGCCTCCTTGTGCTACTTGTGGCTTTTGTGTTTGATCTGAGGACAGACTGTGGGAGAGGTGGCCAATCTAGAGCAGGGTTTCTGACTGGTCAGCGCATTGCTGAAGGGCTTCTCCAGACCAGGCAGATGGAGCCTGGGCTTGGCAGTCAGAAGAGACACACCTGGGGTAGAGTGTTTACCTGGGGTAAAGAGTTTCAGGCTCTCAGCTTGAGACTGCTACCTACACTGAGAGGGCAGGGATCTCTGGAAGCTGTAGCCCAGGGTGGGCACGGCTGTGGTTTAGAGAGCTCCCCTTTTCTGTCTGCAAAGGGGATGCATTCCAGAGCAGAATGATGCTTCCATTTGTGGGAGGGAAAAGGCAGCTGAGGGGTGTCTGAACTCTCAGCCTAGCCTGCACTACGTCCAGCAGCTTCTAGGTTGCTCTACACCCAGGGTGCTTGGCATGGTGGGGTGGAGGCTCCGTGGGCAGACAGCCACCTTGCACCCCTGCAGAAGATGGGGGTGAGCCTCACACCTCACAACAAGGAGACGGTGCGGCACAGCGACGTGCTCTTCCTGGCTGTGAAGCCCCACATCATCCCCTTCATTCTGGATGAGATTGGCGCTGACATCGAGGACAGGCACATCGTGGTGTCCTGTGCGGCCGGCGTCACCATCAGCTCCATTGAGAAGGTAGGTGCCGCAGAGCAGGCCCTCGGCATGAGCTTGCGGTCAGGAACTCTGTTTCAGAACCTGGGTCTTCTGTGAATGGGGTGCGGTGTGCCGCCGTGGTGAGGTCAGGAAGTGCTTGTTTGAGGGAGCGTGTCCACACCTCACCGGCCTGGAGGGTGGCCTGGGCCATCTCTCCTGGGGTAGACATCCCACTTTTTTCTCTAGAAGTTGACGGCATTTCGGCCGGCCCCCAAAGTCATCCGTTGCATGACCAACACCCCGGTTGTGGTGCGGGAAGGGGTCACCGTGTACGCCACTGGCACGCACGCCCAGGTGGAGGACGGCAGACTGGTGGAGCAGCTCTTATGCAGTGTGGGCTTCTGCACCGAGGTGGAGGAGGATCTGATCGATGCCGTCACGGGGCTCAGTGGAAGTGGCCCCGCCTATGTGAGAGCCGGCCTGGCTTGTGGCAGCTGGGGGTGTGGGGGTGGGCCTCCGACACCTCCAGCCCTCAGGCCTGGGGTGGGGGCTCTGAGACTGGGGGCTGGTGCTTTGCCCTGCTCCATCCTGCCTCCTGCTTGGGGCCCCAGAGGAGGCAGAGAGGCTGGGGCTGGGGCTCAGGGCACCTTCCCTGCACAGGCGTTCACAGCGCTGGACGCTCTGGCCGACGGCGGTGTGAAGATGGGACTGCCAAGGCGCCTGGCAGTGCGTCTCGGGGCCCAGGCCCTTCTGGTCAGTACTCCCTGACCCTGGGTGTGTGGGGAGGGGCTGCCCTGGCTGCCCTTTGCCACCTCCAAGGCCGGCACACAGTGCCGACAGGTGGGGCTTCAGCTGGGGCCAGCGGACACCCCACCCCACTGCCATCAGCTCTTGTCTTGGGGTACAGGGAGCCGCCAAAATGCTCTTGGACTCAGAACAGCATCCAGGGCAGCTCAAGGACAATGTCTGCTCTCCGGGCGGGGCCACCATCCACGCCTTGCACGTGCTGGAGAGTGGGGGCTTCCGCTCCCTGCTCATCAATGCTGTGGAGGCCTCCTGCACCCGCACCAGGTGGGCCTGCCCTCCCCCCCTCCCTTTTCCCCCTCCTCCCCCAGACTGACTCCAGCACAACACAGCCTTGGCCTCACCAGTGGTGGCAGCAGATTCTTGTTGAGCGCTGGCTTGGTCTTGGGCGATTCGGGGTCAGTGTGCAGGACCCCTCATCTCCTTCGGTTATGCTATGTAAAACGGGGCACAGGTGTGGCTGGAAGCCAGAGGCATGGCCCGCACCGGGGAGCCTGTGGGGCCTTGATCTCTGCACCCTGGCGGCCCGGCAGTGGATTAAGTAGACAGGATAGCAGGTCCTGGCATGAGCAAAGCCCAGTGGGTGCTGAAGGAAAACTGTTCATAGCAGAGCCAAGGCTGAGGTTCACTGCCTCAGTTCTGGTCTTCAGGGTAGATCTTTCTGGCCAGTGTCTACCATTTAAGCAAATGCACCACAGACTTCAGAGTGCAGCACAGGACCTCCAGGCTGGGACAGGGCCTGGCCTCCCAGCACTGTCTGCAGGGGACCCAGAAACACATCCTCCAGCCAGGCTGGAGGTGCCAAATCACTTTGACGGTACATGGGATCCCTAAGCCAGCTTGAATGGGGAGAGGTTGCGGTGCAGCTGTGGAGGGAAGGCTGTGACAGGCAGAGTGCCCGAGCCAAGGCCTTGAGGTCAGATGACAGCAGAGCCCAAGGCTGTCTGCGCGGGAGGCTGTGGGCTTCGGGAGGAGGCCGAGAACAAGTCTAGCCCCTGTGGCCTCTAGGGAGCTGCAGACCATGGCTGACCAGGAGACTGTCTCCCCTGCCGCCATCAAGAAGACAGTTCTGAACAAGGTGAAGATGGAGTCCTCCCCAGGAGTGTCTGTGTCCTCTCCGGGTTGCACCAAGCCCCTGCCCTGCAGCCTGGCTCCAGCAGCCAAGGACTGATGGCATCCTGACCACCCACTACTCTTTCTGGCAGTCCCGGGGTCTGAACTCCGAGCCTCATTCTTACCTGGCAAGTGCTCCACCACCTGCTTCCAATCCTGTTTTATTATTATTATTTCTGTTCTGGAGCTTGAACTCGGGGCGCTGTCCCTGAATTCTTTGACTCAGAGCTTAACACTCTACACCCTGAGCCACAGCGCCACTTCCAGTTTTCTGTTGGTTAATTGGAGATAGAGTCTCAGGGATTTTCCTGCCTGGGCTGGCTTTGAACCATGATTCTTAGATCTCCTGAGTAGCTAGGATTACAGGCATGAGCCACCAACCCCTGCTTATTTTATTTTTGAGATAGTGTCTGGCTGTGTAACATAGTCAGACCTCAAACTTGAGATTCTCCTGCCTCAGTTTCCCAAGGGCTGGGGTTATAGGCCTACTGTACCTTGTGTGTGTGTGTGTGTGTGTGTGTGTGTGTGTGTGCGTGCGCGCGCGCGTGCATGCTCACACACCCAATACTGGGGCTGAAACTTAAGGCCTGGGCACTGTCCCTTAGCCTTTCTCATTCAAGGCTGGAGCTCCACCACTTGAGCCACAGCTCTACTTCTGGCTTTATGGTTGATTGGAGATAAAGAGTCTCACAGACTTTCCTGCCTAGGCTGGCTTTGAATTGTAATCATCAGATCAGCCTTCTGAGTAGCTAGGATTACAGGCCTGAGCCACCAGTGCCCACCTATTTTCATTTTTCATGACAGGGTCTTGCTGTGATGCTCTGGCTGGACTCAAAATTCTGGGCTTAGTCCAGCACCTGTAATCATAGCTTCTCAGGAGGCTGAGATCTGAGGATCGTGATTTGAAGCCAGCCCAGGCAGAAAATTCCCCCTGAGACTTTTATCTCTAATTAGCAACTTAAAAACTGGAAATGATGCTGTGGCTCAAGTGGTAGAGCACTAGCCTTGAGCACAAAGAAGCTCAGGGACAGCATTTAGGGACTGAGTTCAAGTCTCTCAACTGACAAAAAAATCAGGGCTTAAGCAATGGTTTGCCTCAGCCTCCCATGCCCCCGGCCAGCTCTGCTGTCTGCTGTCTGCTCTTCAGGCCAAGGCCACACAGTGTTCCCATGGCATACTTCTGCCTGTGGCCGCCAGGTCACCAGGGGTCAGCCAGCATCACATCTCTTACCATTGGGAATCTCCCTGGTCTCTTAAGTGCCAGCCCAGAGCAAGCATGAGTTTTCAGAGCTTGGGCCTTCACTTTCCTGTGCCCCCAGTATCTGCTGGTGTGGGTTTGCCCTTCCCACTCTCTCCTCACCAGGAGATGCTTTCCTGCAAGGACCAGGGGGTCCAGCCATCCCCAGACTAGTGCTGGGACACAGGACCTCCTGACAGGTACTAAGCACCCATAATCCCCGTGGACCCCAGGCCCTCAGCTCCCATCCCTACCCTGACTCACCAGGTGCTGTCTCTTCTCTCCCAACGTGAAGGATGAATAAATTGGCTTTCAAAAGCTCCCAGTGCCATTTGTCCCCTTGGAGCCGTGCCTCTCTGAAGAGTCTGAGCTCTGCAGTCCCATGCAGCTACTTGTGGCTTAGGCTGGGTGGGAGCCTCCAGGCCTTGGGCTTCAGCCACGGGGAAGGGTACCATCCTTGTGTCCTTCACTGAGGACACAGCCTCCTATCTGGGGCGTCCCACTAGGTGGTCCAGGCCACACAGGGTCAGGTTCTGGATGAGAAAGGCACTCTGGAGGGAGATATTGTGATTCTCCAGGGAAATGCAACTCATGGGACACACACCTACATGTACAGAGAATGCCTTGGATGACAGTGGCTAGCAGATGGAGACCCTCGTCCAGTGTGCCTGCTCAGAAGGCAGCAGGGAAGGTCAATATTGCAGATGGAGCCCGAGGGCCACAGATTGGAGAATTCTCCCTTCCTTGGGGTGGGAGGTTGGTCTTTCTCATCCAACTCAGGCCTTCAGCTGATTCCACAAGGCCCACTCACAGGGCGAATGGCATTGTGCCCCACCATGGCTGGAAGGCTAGCAAGAGGGAACCCTGAGTTCAACCCCCAAGACCACCCCCAAATCTCTAGTGGTACTCAGCTATCAGCCTCGTGGGTAGCTAGAGGTATAGGCATGAGCTACCAGTGCCTGGCTTCTAGAGGTTCTTTTTTTTGGGGGGGGGGTTGAGTTGTGGGGCTTGAATTCAGGGCCTGGGTACTGTTCTTGAGCTCTTTTGCTCAAGGTGAGCACTCTAGCACTGGAAGCCACTGTGCCACTTCCCATTTTTTGGTGGTCATTTGAAGAGTCTCACGGACTTTCCTGCCTGGACTGACTTAGAACTGAGACTCTCAGATCTCAGCCCCCTGAGTAGGATTATAGGCATGAGTCACCAGTGTCCAGTTTAGAGGTACTTTATTTGCCAGTCCTGGGGCTTGAACTTAGGGCCTGGGTGCTGTCCCTGAGCTTTTTTTGCTCAAGGCTAGCATTCTACCACTTGAACCACCGCGCCACTTCTGGCGTTTTCTGTGTATGTGGTACTAAAGATTGAACTCAGGGCCTCATGCATGCTAGGCAAGCACTGTACCACACTGAGCCACCTTCCCAGCCCAGCTCTTCTTATCTAATCTTCAAGCCTACTGGTTTTTAAGTGTCAGTCTCATGTGAAAACACAAAATTACGTTTGACCAATGTTCTGGCACCCATGGACCGAAGTGACACACATCAGCCCTCAGGAGAGCCCTGGCGAAGTCCCTGGGGGTGGTTGTGTGCTCTTGTTCATTCAATTAGCCATCAGTGGATGTGGGGATCGGAGGGTTAGGCGCCTCTCTTCAGAGGTGATGCAGGCACACAGTGGGGTATGGCTTGTGGGGCTAGGCACAGTTGAAGGAGGGCCTCCTGGTGGGGTTGGAAGGTTCCAGAGAAGAGTTTCTGCTTTTCCTTTAAAGGGCCTCACCTTTGCATTCAGTTCCTCTACAACTGACCTACTCTGTCACACATTTTTTTCCACCATGTTGGTTATTTTCAAGATAGGCTCTCACTTTCTGTCCTAGCTGCCTTGTACCAAAGTCCTCTTTGTACTTCCTCTGTGACGGGGATGACATGGCAGGTGGGCACCACCATGCCCAGCCGTTCGTTGAGCCTCTCACACAGAGGATGGCCTTGAACCGCACTCCTCTAGATCTCTGCTTCTTAAGTAGCTAGGATTATAAGCATGAGCCACTTTCTCTGACCAGAGAAGACGCCTTTGAGGCACTTCACAGGAAGTCTTACTCCAGTTCCTCTTCCCCCATGCTGCTAAAGAACTAAGGTTGTTTCAGGGAGACACGGTAGGGGGCACTTTGGGCACAAGATTGCATGCAGCCAAATCTAAGGGAGAAAATACATCCACAGAGGAAAAGTAGGAGGGAGTACAACAGCAGAGGCCAAGACCTCCAGTCCTGGTCCTGGGTAATGCAGAAACTGACACTGGGTGAAGGCAGGTGGGTGGACCAGCTGTCATTCCGGGACCAGGAGGACTTGCAGCCATGGTGGGGGAAGGGCTGGGCAATGCGTGAAGACCCCGCATCATCACCTCCTGATTGAAGGCCTGTCAGTGCCAGGAGACCCTGCATGCTCCCTGGGGCATGGTGCCCTGGAAAGGCCCAGATGCCCTGCCCAGGACAAGTTCCTTCTCCAACCAGATGGTGAGGGAAGCAAGAAGGGCTAGGCTGAGAACTGGGGGGGGGGGGTGATGGAGGTTCAAGGCCAGTCAGGGCAGCAAGTTTTCTTTTTTTCTTTTTGTCGGTCGTGGGGCCTGAACTCTGGGCCTGGGCGCTGTCCTTCAGCTCTTCAGCTCAAGGCTAGTGCTCTACCACTTGAGCCACAGC